TACTATTACATCCATTCATGTAGCGTTATCATTTAGAAATATTAAGAATACGATTGTCAACTCTGTCCATGGTGTTTCGTACGATAGCAAGCGGGATCTGATACTACATTTTAAAAGTACGAGCCGGCCGACTTATCCTTGTATGAAATAACTAAAACGTGTTCAACTGTCACTTCTACTTTTACTGCTACTTATTTTAAGAGTGTCTGAACGGTACGTTGAATTCGAGGTTTGAGCAACGAACGCTTGTGTCACGAGGGCCAACGATGGGGCACTACCTCCACAGTTACGCAACACTGCGAAATATTCCAACGTGATCGAACGTTGTAATCCTAGCCGGACTAGTTCTTATCAAACCGGCCCTTGATCGATCCTTGAAATATATCAGCCAAAAACTAATTCTGTGTTTACATAGAGAAATTATCGCGAGCATGTACTATCTTATAAATAATGACTGTGTGATATAATGCGGACAACTCTAAAGATTTTATTGTTTTTCTCTCGTTTAGCGCTTTCAAATCTATTAATTTCAAATCGTAAATTCTCACACTTATGAAAACGTTAATTTCAATAATATTACATTTCCCGTGGGTCTCGCTGGCTCAGGTAATTCCTCTAGCTTGGTTTTTGGTAAAAAAAAAAGTTGAAGCTGTTGGAATCGTATGAAGTTGCCCAACAGCTATGATTTTCCTCTAGCTGAAGGGGTTTTAAGATCATTTTGCGAAGTTTATTTAGATTGGTGGCGAGACACCTTCCTGTACTATTTGTAGTGCAGTGATGAGGACGATGACTGTTGATTAGCGAATATAACTGAAGGCTTTCAATTTTGCAACTATAAAAAAAATATGGCCACTTTATGAATTGCTGTATGGCTGATTTTCTAATCTACATGTGATGAGGTATAGCTTAAGGTGAAGCCACTCGGTGTCAACGAACGAAGACAAGAGTTTTGCCTAAGCTTGATATTACCGTGCCTACTCCGTATCGCGATGCTCGATTGTGTTATCGAATTAAGAAAATGTGTTATTATGTTTTTTTGTGTTCTATATGTAATTGGGACACGTTTTCCATGTTCTATTTTATGACATCTGATCTAGTTGCAGCTACATCTTTTCTGCCAAATATTCCTCGCACACAATTCACAAGGGAGATTTACTCTGTTAACTGATATATTTTTTGTTGTACCTGTACTGGCATACGCCGTTCGGGGATGTCGTCTCGTCGATTTGGCAACTCCGCAGACAACTAGCGCGTCATCTCGATAAGTATGTAATTTTAGTAGTGGAACATGTACAGGCCCAACTATCTTCGACGACGGTCGAAAATTTTCTTCCATTCTATAATAATAGACACCCAGAGGGCATTTTTTCGTAGCCAAGCTATCTTGAAAGCTCTGTCCATTAGCACCCTTTTTTAGCTTTAATTGCTCTGACCAGATGGATAGATGATACTTTTCCCATGATCAGAGATACATTCTTTCAGATCTGGATAGCCGAAGAAGTGGATATTGACTCTTAGTGTGAACGTTGTCCTGTCTCTTACAACTCCACCTTTACAGGACACGATACGTCAGTTTGTCAGCTATGGAAATATTCGTATTGATATATGTAGATACAGTTGAAATAAACCGATTCAGAAGTTGTTATGTTTATTTTGTTCGAACGATGCACTTTTGCACTGCCCTTTAGCTGTAAAGAGCAGTTTTTCGGAGAAAAACACGCATCTTCGATATTTGCTCAGTCGTTTTTTTGTCACCATCAATAAACCCTATGTTTAGATGAAAAACGCAGTCGAGCGTGAGGGGCCTGGTGATTTCAAGGATGACACCTTCAGTCTAGAGAATTCACTGAAATTGATCTTGCCTATTAATTATATATTTAGTTCTGTTAATATTTTCACTGTAATTATATGATCTTATTGAGGTTATGCTTCTCCTGGTTTCATTGATTTTTCAGATTATACTAAAAATATTATTTAATAATAAGTATCTAAAATATGTGAAATTATATAGATATATAGGTGAATACATAGAATTATATGATTGGAAACTTCAGTTAAAGTCGTACTTGTCATGACCAGCAACATCACCGTTCTGTCTGTATTTATTAGACGGCTAATAGTTTCAACTCGTATGTATATTCCCCAGGATGATGCTCAAGGCAATGTTTGTGACAGTATTTACAAATATTGTTCTGAGTCAGCGTAAAATTATTATCTTTCCAATAGACTGTATAGTTAGCTTTACGTACAGCAAATCTAGTATTTGCATTTTGCCTTTTTCGCAAGAACCGTTCCAGCTGTCGTTGACTATTGCCAGAGCTGAAGGTCCACTGTGGTTTTTCTTCATCTTCTTTTAGCAATATCTACACACAATATTTTTTCGACGACAGAAGTCTGGATAGGGTGTGAAATGTCTGTTAAGGGCTACACTAGCGTACTAGCCGTACGAATTTGCAACGCGCGTTTCCAAAGTTCACGTCTTATCCCGGCCAGTGCCTATACGTCTTTTGTAGGAAACAGTCTTAAGGACATTTAAAAGCAGTAGCAGGGGTAATCCTCCTGTTACGAAAGGCATATATATATATAAGCCGCAAGTTTTCGTGAATATCAGATCGAGGTGGTCACATCCAGGACCTTACGCACCCGCTCTCCACGCTATTGTTGAAGGAAATTGTATTTGACGATCTGATTGCTTGACGTACTTCGAAATTATGTAACTTTTGAACTAGTTGGACCGGAATGATGATCTTTCAATAAGTGTTAGCGGTACCGTTTTTATTTTTTTCATTCGCCTCAGCGCATTAATAGGTTCTGGACAGCCATATACCTTTATTCCTGTTCCTATATATAATTTCCTTATCAACGGCTCTTCGAAGCAAATCTGTAGCGAGGTATTTATGCCCCAGTCGTACTTTAAGGGCATAGAAAACCCCATAGTATACTCACATTCATATACATCTTCAAAATAGCACCTGATTGTATAGAGTTTATAATATTGTGTTGAAAAGATTTTCTACGAACGATTTCGCAATGCCTGCGCAATGCGTTCATCGTTCGAGTAACCTAAGCAACATAGGCAGCCAATTTCAATAAAGGGTAATCATGACGCCAAACTCACGAAAGATCAATACCCTAAAACTGGGAACATGGTTTAAAAAACACACAATCATCTCTTCCACAAGACAACTGCGACTTCAAGATTTCGACACTATAATCTTACGTTGGGACAAAGTGGCTATCACTGTTTGAGAGAGACTAATCGACTTCCTCGATCTGTTTATATTTGCACACACGCACAACATACACCAAGCAAGTTTTGTTTATACACTCTTGCTGGCAGTAGTCAAAGCTTTCGATACGCAGGTAAACAAACAATAGGACAGCCTAATATCAGAGAGAGTTCCATACGGACAATATCCTCCTTTTCTACGTAGGCTTCTCACATATGATCCACATTGGAAAAACATTAGATGCTACCGAACACTATCCTAATACTTTTCTCTAAACTAAAGTTATTCCAGATCCGGTAAAGCAAAACTGTGTTGAAGAGATCCTCTGCACCATAATCTCGTTAAAAAAAACTCCCCTTCTCCGTTATCATTATCCGTCTTATCCTGACGAAGGCTTTTACTGCAGTGCCCCTAGCACTATATTTGAATAAAGCTACTGCACTATTTCAGTCACCCCCTTACACTGCCACGTTATCTCATTGCCCTATTTCGTAACTCGGTCAGATTGATTCCATTACTTTAGTCCGAGTGTTCCATTAATGCGTTCAAAACTTTCTGGGACCATATAGCGAATATTCTGTGGCCTCCCTCCTATTAGGCCAGCACTGTGTTACGGATCATTCCCTAGCCATCGCGGTTACTTCGCGATCTCAATGAGAAGCAAACTTTTAAGCTTCCATGCAAACATTAGGTCAAGTGAGAAACCCAATAAGTAACTACTGTGAAAACATCTTCAAACAACAAAAAAACCACCGGAGGTTTCTTTTGGAGAACTTCATACCCGATTGCATTTGACTGTGTTTTTCACACGATGTCGAGATTGCCGCGAGTAGACGTTTCATGGATCCTTAACTGTCCTTAAGATACTTGTACAGAAAGGCTATCTTGTCTCAGTCTTCGTTAAGTACCTTTTGGCAGACTGATATTGTTGTGTTACCATTCAATTACTGTATATACTGTATATACTAAACACAGTTGCAGTCTGCCTCAGCAAGATAGGTCGTTACCTAGTTCACTCAGCCCAGAGCGGCTTGCGACAGTACCATAATATCTTTTCATTTATTTCTCATCTAACCGGTCTACGATACAACTAATCGTCGCAGAGATGATGACGAGTTAGAGGCCTGCAAGGCCCATATGACGTATGATCACAAATGAGTAGTGCATCAGAACAAGGTAATAGAATGGCATAAGATGATACTGTCATTTCGCCATCTTGACCCCCTGCAACGAATCATGCCAAATTATAATGTGCAGTTGCGACGATTGAGGGAACCCAGCGAGAGAAGGGGAATAAATTTTCCACTAATTACGGTAACTATACGGTTCCGGAGTGTTGTAGTAGGGCTCGTTAGTAACTTTAGCATATTCAGTTCCTTTGAACTGAATGCTTTTATTAGGAATTGTTAAGTTGCAGGTGTGCCTTACAAAAACAAGTGTTATGTTTCAATATATTTTTTATGATACATAGATGGCGGCTTATACTGATAATAATCATCTCATATAGATGGCAGTCAGCTCTGGTTATGCCAACCTGCAATACGCCCACGCCATGCCATACACTCACCTACGAATATGTTCGAAGAAGCAAGTTGGGGCACAATAAAATCATCTTAACCCGTGTTTCAGTCTCGCTCCTTCAGTATCTCGTTCGCTATTTATGTTTTTGCTGAATTAATTGCAACAGACGCAGTACAGACGGAGCTGTTTGTCAAAAAAAAAAACTAGTAGTTTTGGTTTAGTGTTGTAAGAATGGTGTTATTGGCGCCCTTGAAATAGATGAACTGAACATTACCGAATCGGTGTCTGCTGTTGCGAAAGGCAAGATGGCCAATACAAGTCTGAAATGGGTTTTCTATAATCCTAACTATAGGGCGAGCGGCCAATTCACGAGAAGGTCATGAGGAGGTTTGAGGTGACACCGTCAAGCAGTCAGTTCTAACTATCATAAAATTTAATGGCGGATAAAAATTATCCTAAATTAGATAAAATTCACACTTACAAATTTAATTATGTTTCACTTGTCACCTAAAATACCAATTTAAAATTCTGAGAAAATGGTACGACGACATCGTTTAAGTAACAAGTGTGAGGTCCCACATTAGTTGTTGCCCTCCCTGCCTTCGATTCCATTCATCTCTGTTGGTTCCCAATATTACTAGATGTAGTAAAGGAAATTGAAAATAATGAATAAAGCACGAGAAGGATAAAGGATCTTGTTGTCGGGCGCTTGACGGCCGCTGACGAACGCGCAAATCGGCAGGTCTTCATTCCGCTAAGACTGGCAGGAGTAGGTCACATTGCAGAGAGGCAGAGAAATCCGAGAACGCGCGAGCCTGAACCCTTCAGACTGAGAGTTACTGTAATGTATACGTTCCCAAGAACACTCTACCTGTGATTATTCTCACATGCGGTATAGTATAATCAAATACAATGTATTCTACGTGTATCAAATATGTCGTAGCAAATTTTCGCGCATACAGTTTGAGAATTTCTGAGCGGTAGCGTTATCTACTGATCCCATTGATGGGTGACAAAACACTTCTAAAAAAAAATCTAATTTCGATAAACACAGCCTTCTGCGTACAAGATTCTACGCGCTGCGCCTCCAAACCTAGCCCACAGGCGATTAAAGCGCCAACCCCAGCCTGGGTTGCAGTAACGGTGGCAGCTCACTGCAAGTGGTTTTTTCCCAAGTGAACGTCCAGTTGGGTTGAACGGCGAAAGGTACGTCCTTTGGCAGCTTAGCCGGTGGAAGGAGAAAGGTTCGGAAATCGATCCGTCAAGAAGAGGGGCCCGCCATCGGATGTAATGCTGTTCGTGGGAGAGTTATCTCAGCTTTCGCTCAACTCGGCTCGCTCTTGTTGGCATGAACAATTGATTTTAATTAGTGTTGACGTCTTGAGCTCCTAAGCGTGTCACAAGCTCTGCGAATTTCTGTATGTTTGGTAGGTTTAGGTAGTAAAAGACACTATTATCAATGAAACAATTTTCTACCGTTCACTTCGAAAATGAATGCCCACTAGTAGAATGAGTGGTAGACGGTCAGCTGCTGATGGTAACTGAAATAATTTCGTAACCGATACGTAAAAAGGAATAGTCCTCGAATATCATATCGATAGAATATCGGTGAAACTGGTATGTGAGATCAGAAATCGAGAACAGCTTGTGGATCCGAAGTTTTAAGGCCGACAAAGTAGTCCGTGTATTTTACCACGTTCACACTCTTGAACTATTGTAAGTCTATTTTTAGTCGTCTTCAATGGGTTCAATAAAACAATTCAAAGTTTTAGCTTTGAAGCAAGAATATTAGCATCAGACCCATGAGTCTATAGCTTGAAGGAGCAAATCGCGGCGGATTATCACTGCGTGAGAGCAACTGAAAGCAAGTCTAGTGCTTATGTATTTAAGCAGCACGTCTTCATCCACAGTAAAAAAAAAAAACCCATAATACTACCAATAAATAACTAGATGAACGGCCTCATAATTATTCCAATAGCTCATAGACGGTTGCCTGCCTTGGTGACGAAAGTAAACGGCTTGGGTATTTTTACAAGGAGCATATCGACCCTGTCCTTACGTTGTTGAAGGAAGCATTAAATGCCTGAGCAACGTAAATTTTACCGTATATCATGACTCGTTTACGTTACGTTGCTTTCGTTAGATATATGCTTATCTAATTTGGCATATATAGCGATACATTTGGTCATTGTTGCCGCGACACGGGCCGATTGATCATTCGACAACGGTGGCCGTTAAAGCCGATCGGCTCTTAACGTGTTGATAGCTCCCGCCTTAATCTTCTATTGATTTATCACTCGGAACTGATTTATTATATTGGCGTCATAGGGCAATGCAACCTGCGATCGTATCGTTCTCTGTTGACATTAGATATGTATATGCGTAGAGAAAAACGGGCCTTAACTAACATCATTTTCTACTAGTAGAACCTTAACGATTTTTTTTTTACTATTTTTAATTGAAATTAATAATTATTCCGAACCAAAGCGGCTGGTAATTTTGGCTAGGGCCTGATCTTTTTCAAAGAAAAATTATGCCACTATCACTCAATTAAAATTATCTATACCTTAAGCTCATGTTAAATAAGTTCATGTTCGTGTTATGCAATACAACTATGTAAAGCAGACTGTTAATACTTAGTCTGTCTTTTCTCGTGTTTTATGTTAATAAATCGTATTTTTATGATAATAATCTTCTCTGGTTTGGCTCCGTTGCTCCACTTACTTTTCGCTGAACGTTGGGATCTTGTAACGATACACATTTTACCAAATCGGCCTGGTTCAGTGTAGCCGATCAGGACCTGACTGACTATCTTGGACGACTGCACTTGGAAAACAAGAATACGTTCCATTTGATAATACTAGCTAACAATCAGTCTATAAGTAACATAGATTGACGGTAATCTGAATTATAAGGTGGATTTAAGTCTAGTTAAAGTGTGTCTACTGCAAATTATGTAAAAGCAAAAAAAAAAGTATTTTCCGAAACACTTATCTCGAGCGAGTTATATAGAGCTATATAAACAACGCACCTCAGTTGTCCTCTAGCTGCCTCTGCCTTCGGTAGAAAAGAGTCAACCTTTCGACGTGAAGTTGCATGACAGCGCTAATCCTACGTAGGTGAATCTTGAAAGGTATGAAGACACATGCTAAGTTCATTGTCTCCAACAGAGAGACATTTACTATAGTGTTTTCACTCTCAAAGTATAAAGGAGGGAATAGGAATCGACTGGCGAGTTAAAAATAACATCGGTGGAGCTAGATTCGATCACCATGAAACAAGCTCTGACATAACTTCATTTTATCATTGACTGTCCCAAAACTTTAGAACCTTTCATCCACCTCGTTGTTTATTTACCTCAACGATCAGTACCGTGATTTCAAGCATACGGAGTAAAGCAGATTTATTCGTAACCAGTAACTGGGCGATGTTTTCAAACGTTTGCTTTTGTCTATAGTAATTGAGGTAAAATCTTTCCCATCCTAGAAGACACGCGACGTGGCTGTGAGCCGTTCGCCTCTTTATCGCGTTGGCGACTAGGTATCAACTACCTATCAAGTCTAAGTATCAACTACCGCATTTCGATAACCTCGCAAAGGCCTATACATGTCCGTTACTTAGTCCCACCTGAAAATGGTCGGGGACGATAGGCCTAGTCTCTAGCCGATAACGTTTAAAAAAGTATCGTACTACCTATTTCGTCAATAGAGTCTATTACCGAAAAAATACCCTAGAAAAAATTTAACATGCGTTCGTATAGATATGCCTGGTTGACTTGTTTCGGTATTTATGGTTTGGTGATTATTTGTGTACATAGCATAAACTATGATTAGGCAAAGGGACTCAAAACACACATGAATTTCTCATTACTTCTCCGGAGTAGTCCTCTGAAAAATTTCACGAGTGTCTGTGTTATAATAGCTCGTAACCTCGCAACATAGAAACAGACAAGAGACACAAGTCTGATATAATTCACTTTTGTACGAATAGTAAAAGTTGACTGTGATCGGCCAAGTTAGGCATCACCCAAACCAAAAATGTCAAATAATAATTCATAATGGAGTAAATAAGCGTTATGGATGTCCTAGATTGCCATGCGCCAGCCGTGGGTAAGCGTTATCGCCACAAGTTCTTATCGAAGCTACAGTTTAGCTGAGCTTTGCGGAAGTGGACCATATTTGTCTTAAATCTTTCTTGAATCGACTGCTTCGGTTAATAACCAGGACATCGGCTGTATAGAGGTACCTCTTCAGGCGTCTTCGACTTTCGCTCAATAGGACAAGAAACAGCAACGAAATTCCTCAAGGCCGTCCATAGTTGAAATTTCGTTCTCCTGCAAGACGATTTCAAAACCTTAAGGGAAAAAAATGCTTCATAGGAGGAGATGGCTAGCGTTCTTCTTCTAAGATATGACAAACCTAGGTAAATCGAACTTGCAGTTCTGGAAATCTCGTTGACTACAGCCATTTGTACATGATTCAAACAACGTATTATACGATCCTCTAAATTAGAAAAGGACGTGAGGCCTAAATAAGCATATTTCGTCGGCTTGAGGAGTTTTTCGTCGTTCTCTATAGGCTCAGCCGGCTGTCACTTTAGTTCACGTAATGCTGATACATTTAATACAATGTTAATATAATGTCTATGTCCTTGCTTGAATATAGCCTGAACAGAAGCTTCGTTGTGATACCTACATTGTTTGAACACGTGCATATAGACCTGCCACAATTTCCGACCCCTGCTTATACTCTATGCTATTTATCCTGAACTTTTTCTGGAAGCTATTTAGCCTGAACTTCTAACCATAGTTTGCGCGCACTACTTGATGGAAATACGTTAATCAAATATCATGTCTGCTGTTGTTCATCCAAATGTTATTAAATTCAACCACCATAGAGGAGACCTTGTCGAATTCTCACACCATTACACTTGGTGTCTATAGAAAACGTAATTGCTTTCTTTATTTAAACTAATCAATGGAACAACTAGTCGTTGTTCAAGCGACTTGGAACTGGGATCTGGGACACGTCTGACAAAGTAGCCTAGAATGTTTTTAGCGTAATACGGAGTAGCACGAATAAATTTTTCATTTACTAAAAGTTCTACATATGTATGCACAATAAAATTCTGATACGTTGTAATTAAGAACGTTCCACAATGTTATTGGAACCTCAGTGAATGCATCAGTCAAGTAAACAAACCACTAACGACCTAGCCTAACGTAAAATACCTAGCTTTGAAGTGTTTGGCGCAACTTAGGACAAATTTTGGCAGTTTATTGCGAGCTAGGCATCTACTGGTTTCAGTAGGACAACAAAGCCAGCCCCACTATAGAAAGCGACAGCTTCACTATCGAGAAGGCAAAACGTTTGCGTTGGGAATATGCGTGAAAATCAGCCATTTTTTGTCTCACGCACCGCACGAATCCTAGATTGATTATACGCATATTTACTCGCTGTGATCGACAGTCCAGCATTGTCTCAATTTTCATACACTTTCTGAAGCAGAACTTTTAAGGCAACACGAAAGATCTGAAATAGGGAATATATATATATATATATATATATATTATAGTTTTATTTTTTTTACATATAACTGACACGTATGATGATTTTGCAATTTTGATGCAGATATTAGCTTCTACTTAGGGGGTATCGACTCTTAATTAGCTACACAGGTAAACTGGTTGTAGTTAATGGTTAGTCTTTTCAATTTTCTTTTTTTTCTTCTTTGAGACGTTACATTTTTGGGCCTAATTGTAACCCAAAATTTTGCTTGGAAAACAGATTTGTCTACGGAAGCTATATATTAAAGAAAATAGGTTTGCGTACAGTTGACATAAAAACTTATTCGCGAATTTAAGCAGAAAAATTTACTGCGAAATGTCTAAGCTCTTCTCATTTAGACGCTTGTAAATGATTTTTGTCCCAGTTCATTCTGTACACCCTGTCCAATCTAAAGCTGCTCTCGTTAACAGAGCTAAAGACTGATAATGATTAGCTCTTATCTAGATTAGAGTCGTTGTCAGATTTCACTAGCTAAATGACAGAACTAAAATATACTCTCAACATATAAATAGAAACTACAGCTACTAAGGAATAGATCCAACACAAAAGATATCATCACAATATGCATCTAACGAACAAAGGTAACTGCCCCATCTTCATAAACTATCTACGAGCTGCAGCGACGTCTTAATCTAAACGTAAAAACGAAATACGTTAGGTTTAGGAAGTACATACTAAATGCAAAATGAAACGACAAAGACCGTACGCATCTACAATTATGGGACCTACTTTTTGCTACATCCTTTCATATATTTAGTGTAGTAGATACTGATATCTATTCTACGCTACTATACAGACAGGAGAAATCCGTTCATTGAGATTTAGGTTATTTTTATATCTAAACGTGCCTAAGAATTCCGCCTAGAATACTGCATAAACAGTCTATGCACACGACACCCACTAACTACGGGCTAACAATGGGGGTTGGCGTTGACTTCGCACGCACTTAATTACCAGGTGCTATATATACGTAATTCGGTTAGGTGCCTCGACCTGCCAAAAACTGGCTTCGCCTAAAATTATCAATGATCCTACTATTCATTCAGTAGAAAAGCCGACCTACGTTTTTCGCTTTGAAAAAGCTGAATAATATGTCAGGCAACGGGGCGGAATAGGGCCGATAGGGCAAACTGCCAAGTATGGAGGACAGCGCCAGTAAAAGCGATGCACCGAAGATAAACCCGCTTGTCGTCCAATGACCAATGCAGGAGGTTGCTCCATATAGGCGAAAAGCACCAAGAATCGAAGGGAAACGAGACGAAGAAAAAATAATGCACGTCTGCTTCTATCTCTATTCACGAAACAGTGACCAGGAACAGATCGGGGAATTGACGAGGCAATGACGTACAGGCGACACGAGCTTATTAAAGCCGTCTTTGGACAAGGCAAGAAAAACCAAAAAATTGTTTTCAGTGAGACGGACGCAACAACCAAAGCCTTCGCTCACCAAGTTAAACATACAGAATCCGTCTGTTTGCACTTAGTTCGTGCCGTTTTACATAGAAGATGGATCAAGGCTACGCATAGAATACGATCAACGTAGACGAGGCAGCATTCCCATTAGAAATGCTTTACAATAGTATAGGATTCGATTTCGTAGGTTAAGCTGAAACTAAATCTGCGTTAAGCATTTCTAGCGCTGTGTAAAAACCAGATACATGTGTGGAGGTCGTACTTAAAAATAAAAATCAAGGACATACCGTATTATAAGAACCGATCTTTATAGATACTCGTATTAAATTATTCTGGAACACAAGTTAAATACAATGGCTAACTCAATTCAAAACAGAGACGGAATTTCGTGAAACGAAGCAGACCCATCATAATAGCTGCAGTACAGCAGATATCGCTTGTTATAGCTTCAAGCACGCGCTGGGTTTACTACACCCTAATCAGTACAAACGGAGGCAAACAAACTTTTTTTCATTCGTAACGTGAGGCAAGCTTTGCCGCCCCTCAATAACCCTAACTATTAGTGAGCCCCATCAGAGCTAGCCACCGCTAGGAACTACGAAGCACGGTGTTATTAGCACAGCACCAAATGGCGCAGCTGTTTTACCGAACGTATTTTTTTTGTTCGACAGTTAGGTCTAATCAGCGTGCTTTTATTAAACCAACAAAATACAGCCTTTTCTGTAATCGTGATCACACACCAACAACATTGCGAATACTGATTCGCTGACGCCACCATCGTACTACGATATTCCTGTCTAATTTAAAAGATTATAGATTATTAAAGTCAATTAGCTTTGCGCAACAGTAGCGCGCGTTTTAAGTCTAAAAATCAAGTTTCGACGACGCTCATTATCCTTACGTGTTATGATGGGAACTAAGAGGAATTACGGCAGCATGAAGATCAGACGATTCCTTTGCTTGAGATCAGCGTAGTTACTTGTAGTTACTTTCTTTTTCGCCCATCTGACATAGTGTCCGACCTTCCTAAAAGTTTCTATGTCAAAATAGATAGCTACGCATGTACCTTAAAATCACCAGAAACACCATGAATATGGCCATCATGTAAAGATCCCAGTTGTCTCCTAAAAGACCACTCATGGTCGTCTCGATCCATTGCAAACTGCGCATTCGTTTTATCATTTCCGCGAGGGCCATCTTGAACAGCGCGAGCTGTGCTGGAACCTATAAAAATTAAGATCATGCTTCATTAAAGGTTTTTTTTTTCTCTCTTTTTTCTTGCCCGTCCCAAAATCGGCATGTTACAACGAGGCTCAGATTAAGTAAATCTATTAACCGTACTTGCACACATATGTTCGAAGATCTTATGGCTAACTAGTAAACATCGCAGATCATCTGTTCATGCGAATCTGTTGCATGAGCTCGGAAATAACAGCACGTGAATCTACTTTGAGTCAACACATTTCAATAATTTCTGTTCACAGCCTACTTCAAATCTAGCAAACACAAATCCCTAGCGAGTAGGCGAATTCCTGTTTTTAAGCCCTTTCGTTACCTAAACAATTATGCTCAATAGGGTGCGTTGGATCTATGAAGACTAAGTGCGCAAATAACCTGTGCATCTTCTGAAGCAGTCGCAGCCAAATGATAATATCGTCTAGCAAGATGATTGTCTGCCGGTACCCCTTGGCCATGTTCGTGCATCAGCCCCAAATTAAATAGTGCCTGTGCAGAGGGTCGAAAATTATCTTCGCCTGCAAGTCGATAATATTGTAGCGCTTCATTGTAGTCTGCTGGCACCCCGTAGCCGTAGAAGTAGGCGTCGCCCAACTTTAGACGGGCAGCTGGCGAGCCCTGATCGGCGGCCATCTGCCAGAAACGAATGGCTAGCGCCAGTGATGCATTGGCGCTGTAAAGAACAGGATTGGTGTTTGTCAGCACATGGGCCGCGTTGCTTTGCGCCACTTCTGAACCAAGCTCGGCGACGAACATATATCTGATGAGGGCTTCATTCATGCGGCCTTCAGAATATGCTTTGTATGCCTCTTGCATGAAAGACATCCACGGACCTCGTTCAGCAACTTCCTGCATTGAAATAGAATCGTACACAGCCTGCCGCTTTTACTATAAGCTACAGAGATTCATTTATAGTACCTTCTAAGTATTCTTTTCTAGTATTCTACAAGTTTATTACTTGATTTTTTATTATTCATTAGGAATAGTCTGACAAATATACGATAATAAATCCAGATCGCTTCACAAGTTAGTCCTCAGTTGAATATACCATATATCAGCAAAGCGCTTACAATTGTTTGTTATGAATGCGTGTTAACTATAATCCTGCAGGGCTTTAGCTGAAAGGACGCGTAAATAGCAACACTACTAGCACAAATCGTCTAACAAGCGAAGCAATCTAATATAATTGATAACGCGAGCGAGGGTCGCGATTTGAGGGCAACGTCATTTAGACGGAACAAATCCAAGGCGAAACAAAGATATCCAGCCCATACAAGTCTAGAAAAATAGGGGGTCGCAAGAACAATAATAGAAAACATAAGCGGCTTTGCCCCCGGATTACGGATAGTGAGAAACCTAATTACCTTCAAAAGGTCCACAGCGTTATGGCAGTTCCGTACGACCCCAGTACCCTGGCCGTTCATTAGGCCGAGATAGTAGAACGCACTTGTGTGTCCCTGCATCAAAGCTTGCTGGAAGTACTTGAATGCTACTGGATAACTTTTCTCAACACCGATCCCGAAATAGAACATATGACCTAACTCAACATGCGCCTCAAGGAAGCCTTGTTCAGCTGCTAATTTTAACAATTTCAGAGCTTGGGAATAGTCCACCGGAACGCCACTGCCCAATCGATACATTTTAGCTAAGCCTGTCTGTCCGTATGGGTTCCCCTTTTCGGCCGACATGGAAAAATACTTCAAGGCGGTCGCATTTGATTGGGCCACGGCATCACTCCCCTCTAAATACATCTTGCCCAGTAGAGCCATGGCGTTGCTGTCGCCAGCTGTCGTCGCCCGCGACAGATAGCGGAATGCGCGCACATGGTCACGTGGGACATTTCGGCCACCCTGAAATAGCAATTGACCAAGCCCGACTTGTGCCTTTACATCGCCTTTATCCGCCAGGAACTGGTAATATTGTAGAAGATCGCGATCCAGCTGATTCGTCGTCGGACCCGATGGATCATCCGATTCGTCACTAAGACGAATTTTTTCCAGGGGAAACGCCGACCGCGAGTTTTGTGTCCGATCGTCTTCTACAATTTTTGCTACACGCCTATAGAGGTCGAGTGCTACTTCGCAATTTTTTGAGACACTTCGTCCGAAGTGATACCGATAGGCAAGGATCATCTGGGCTTGCTCACATCCGCCGATTGCAGCGAAAGTATAATGCATTAATGCTTTGGCTTGCGACCGTTCTAACCCGCCTAATCCAAATGAATGCATGAACCCTATATATAAATGGCCGCCAGGATCTCCGTCGTAAGCAAGCTTTCGAAGCGGATGTAGCACATTGAAGCTTTCCGGACGCAGGAACAGTTGTTCTAATGCGAACTTAAAAGTCGTCTTCAGCAAGACCTTTGGCGTCAGATCTTCTCTTACTGAAGTGGGCTCTTCGTATGAATTCTTCGGTTTGTCCAAGATCTGCTTTTTTGGTTCAACCAACTGCGGTTGTCTTGTAACTGCTGCACCCAACGTTGCAAACATTACTGATAGTAGAAGACATGTAACGTGCTCGTGAATGTTTATTAGCTTCGCCATCATCACATACTCTGAGGAGAGGCGCACCTTTACCTCCTGTCTTTTTCCACTTTTGTCTGTACTGCAACCGCTGATCGATTTTGCTGGCTTTCGTTGAGTCGACCCCACCTTTATGTCACCCAACCCGAAACCTCGCACACATATACTGCTGTAAAAGGAAAACTGGTTAATGTTTGGTATGAATTATCCTGCTTGAAAGCGTCCCCTACCAGTGATCAGCCAGATAACATTACCAAGGTACTTCATATACATTACATTATGGCATCGTTGTTTTGTGTTATCAGAGGTCAAATCGTATCGCGTAAAACTGCTCTTCAATATAATACAACAAATTGTTGTTATGTTAAAACCTTCGCTTACACTTAACTGATCGTGGATGTTTTCCATTTTATAAATATATGACGGATATTGTTTTCAGACATTGGTACGCCACAGGACGCTGCTTATATTCTAACAACAGCTAGGTGGCCATCACTGTAAAACGGCAGATCCTGCCGTGTAGCCAGTACCTGGCGAAGAAATTTTTTGTTGAACTAGCTAAACGGATCATAACGTATTATGCGCCTGATGCAAAATACAACGATGGCATCCGTTCGCTGGTTCAAGCAGCATCTCGAAGCTATATACCATTAGCATTTAGCTAAGCCCTGTGGGAGGGTGATCATAGGCGATGATATTAAAAACTTGAGGTCTTCGTCTGCTTTGTCTTCGTTCGAAGCCCGTGAGCCGCTGGCCGTACGCCTATTCCACACGATATCTGGAGGGTCGGCCGAATAAATTATATGCAGTTTGTTTTGCTGTGAGAACTCCACGAAGCTGAAACGTCGTCTTGCATTTGGTCGGGCCACGAAACCTCACTCGTCGTTTCGAGGAACAAATGCGTGAATTGAGCAAAGCAAATTTACTAACCAATAGATTTAGGGCAGAGCATATAATTATCATCATTACATACTACATAACTGGTGTGCATAAAGGAAGTCGTGTATACAATGCGTTTCAATGGGAAAAGGTTTCTGCGAGTATCTACTCTCCCATAGTTACGTACGATATGTTTATTCACGACGTCGTTTCAATGTAAACGCTAATAGTTCTGCCTGGCCTGCCCGACCTATCTACATTATTTATATTGCAAGACTTCTATGTTCTTCACAAGTGTGTCACGCTTGAACTCAACGAGCGCAATTCCCTAATAGAAAAGAGTGGTTCTGTTCTTCTACGCATGTATGTTTATGCTCGATAGCCGTATGTAGTCCTGCCTGTGCTTGTTCCTTTTCATACGAAACCTTTCATGAAATCTTCGCCATATATGATCTTATATATATTGAACATTTATTTTGTGACGAAAGTCTCCGCTAGCTTGTGTAAACATTAGCGACAATTGATGATTTTTGATATTTTTTTTTAACTCCTCCTAGATTGAATTTTCACGTTCCTAAATTCTTCTCAGTAGGTTACCCCTACAACAAATTCATTGACCCCCAACACATCTGGTCGACCACTTCAGGCAGGCATGTTGAATGCTTTGCGTATACATAATAGAAACAATTCAATTAGGATAACGAAAGCGGAACAGAGAAATTATTACGCTCTAGGGCTATTTTTATGGCAGAAGTAACAGAACACGATAGGCGCGGCATTTCTCTAGGTGTCTAAGTGTAGCAAATTTTGTTGACACGCTTGTGCATTCCTGTCTTGTTTTTGTTCAAGGAACCGTGTATATGTTCTAGAGAAAAATCATGAAGAACAGAGTTCGAAAAAGTGGAAATAGAGACTGGCGGAAACAGACCCCATCTGCCGCAGGACCTTGTTTCATTACAGACCAAGAGTGCGGTCTGCTTTTTGGACGCTGGCTTCTTATTTCATAATCTCCCACTATGTGCCTCAGACGGGAAAGCACCATTTTTGACGAACTAACCGATCTTACTTCTAAAAGCAACGTAAATAAGGAAAATTTATCACCAAAGGGAGGAAATCGTCGAAGCCAGAACTGGTACTCCTCAGCTATATCGATCGTACCTATATACGTTAGTTTATTTAACGCGGTCGGTCAGAGCAGATTACATCGGTTACTCCGGTATCAACGAAATCAAGTTCCTTCAGTTCACAGCCCGTCAGTAAGTTAATTCACATTCTGCGTGCGTGAGCTGCTGGGAGCAAATGTCGTATCCTATATTCGGGCATTTTACTCTCTCCACTTCGTGGTTCGGTATACGATACAGCACAAGGATAAACAATGGACACGAGTTCTGTGATATGAAGATGAAATATGTCCGACAAGAAGTATAGAAGCCCTCATAAAGAAAGACTAAAGATGTCATTTTATACGAACAGACACAAGAGAATTTCTGGTTACAGTTGGCAGCAATAGAACTTCCATAACCTAAAACCGACGCACCCGACATCGAATTTAACCTACTGAATAGTTAAAACAGACAGAAAATAAGTGTCGCCGAAAGTTCCTGGGAGCGCTTCGACGCATGCGCACGTCGCACATGACGGAACCCAAGCTAACAAAAATAGAAGTTTATAGGAAAGGCAAATAATCAGTCGCGCGTTACTAAACCCTCATTCTGAGCCTGTATGTCTCAAGGGTTCTACGTCCGGTATCGCGTTAGGCGTTCCATCAGACCGCTGGTCCCTAACATGAAACGCGAGTTGATGTTCGAGTTGGAACTTAGACTACAATATGTCCCAACATGGGGACTTAATATGAGACCTAAAAATTAAAATAACATTTCGATTTGGTCCCGTGTGAACGACTTCGCTTTTAAAATGGTTTCAAAATTTTATGCAGTAGATTGGCATTGAAGGTATCAGAGCAGACCCGCCTGTCATTGCTATTAGCGTTGCGTTTTTCTACTATTGTATTACGTCGATTTCCCGTCACCTATTACAATCCGATAAAGAAATTGTAGGGGCTGTACTCTGAAACAAAAAAAAAAAAAAGCATTTTGTGCTGATTCGTTACCTAACGGCTTTCTAAATTTGTAAGCTCTTCTCATTGAGTACGATGACCTTACGGTACACCATATTTTCGAGCTGTAACAGCAGCCCTAACCAAGGGATCTCCTTCAACTACAGATCTAACGCTGTTTTCAGGCAAGAAAGGCCTTCCTAGATTTTTGCGATTCAAATTTCTCCTACGAAATGTCCTGAGCCAAAATTCCGACACACCTAAGAAGGTTGCGGTACCCCCAAGTGTAACACGAATCTCGATGAAACTGTTCGCCATGGCGGAGCCAGTTCAAACATGAATTTCGTAATAGTCAATTAAATTTTTTTTCATTTACAGATTGAACGCTTTTACAATGATATATTCAGTTGCAACAAGGGCTTTTCTAGACATCTGATATCGTCGAAAGTCTCCCGAAGGCGTAAAATTAGCAAGGGAAAAAACTGATAGGAATTATACGGTACTAGCATATAATAATTCGACCAGCATAATATAGAATCTGAGTAAAATTCAAATAAAAAATAAACTCACATTAAGTTAAACTTCACACGTTGTACCTTTCCTTCCGCAACCGGTGTAGCTCGAGCGTCCGGTGTTTCTTTTTTCTGTCTTTTTTTTTTGCTTAGTTTTTTGGCAGTCTAGCGCAAAAATTCACATCAAAATATAGTGGTTAGCTAGACGAAACATAAATTGAATAGTATTAGATGGGAAAGCGGACGAACTGCCACAAGTAGTTTCGCATATATGAGCGATTTGTTGTTCAAATCGTAGTCCGGCTGGATATTGACTTGAATATTTCAAATCAATTTACACATGTATCCTACCAGTAAAGTAAATGTTCAAAGGGGTTCGTACGAATGATGGAGATGACTGACATGGGTGGAAGAACGGAATCATTGTCTGGTGCTTGCTTAAACGTTATTTATCTGCTTTTTCTACAGATGTATTGGCTACATCTGTTATCACAAATGCTGATAGGCTTCAACAGGACCACATTTGGGTAGGATGTCATTTTCACATAGGTCGAAAGTGAGGCAAGACGAAAGATGCCTTGAAAACCTACTGTCCATCTATTTATTGTTCAGTCGAGAAGAAATTCTCTATCAAGCAAGGCGGTACTATTCACGGTGCTGCTGCTACTACTACTGCTGATGCTGATGCGGCGGCTGTTCGTGCTGTAAACTCATGAGCGATTCGTCGGCCAAACAATGTGACCGTCTAAAGAGGTTTATTTCGAAATCTCGTTAGAAACGTTTACATTTGTTCACCATTACGGAGCCTCTATTGAGTGAGCTGATCTCAAATTGTAGTGTAAGAATTTTGCAAAAATCTTCAAGGGGCTCAAGTAGCGGATAAATTCACAATATAATGTATCGCTGACCCCCACGATCGATACGTATTTGACGTTGAAGGGTTGAGTATTACTATTTTGCGGAAATGGTGGACAATTGGCGAGGCGTGTAGCAAACTTGTTTCGTTGCAATACGAAAAGGGACACGTTAGTGAAACGACCGCGATGTTATAACGGTAACCAGCTGACTGGGCTATTTTTAAAAATTGATAGATTTTGCAGGCGGGGAATTATGCTCGTACGCTGATGTGTGTGCGTTTATCAACCAAAAAAAAATATTGCTATTTTACAAATTCTATTCAGCATTCTATACAGATCTAATTCGGTTATGACTATTATATCGGCTTTAGCTGGACACATTTTGTTAGAAATATGGCGATCTGGAGATGGCGCGAAACTTTCGACAGCAGTACACTTGAAGTAGAATAACTTAGTCTAAAAGACGGTCTACTTTAAGCCACTGATTACCTGAAGTCATACGATATCTGTTGTAGTATAGGATACTAAGACATCCGTAAATAAGTTACTAATCAGCCTGGACCTGCTGGTCCATATATCCCCATTTTCCGATACTAAATCAGTAAAAGGGTTCAGCTTATCTCGATCGCATGACACTTCAGGCTTGAATACGTCCCAAGATCATTAAAAGTCTAGTAATACTCATCTTCGCAGCGGTTCGACCACACAGCTTTGCCCGCTCCCGCTATTCAAGGCTCGACCTTTCCTTTGAATGAATTTGTCGTCCTTCACTGTTTGCTTGTCGTCCATTTTAGCGGACGACGGTGAACCGTTTACGTGCTCGATGCGGTGGCCGCCACAGAGTATTGCCCAATACTCATGCCGATCATATTATTGCTTTTCTCCAGAACGTATTAGCATGCTTCCGGTGCTAAACAATCATCAGTTAGCTCAGAAAACATCGAAACCCTTAGTCGGCGTACGCTGCCATCCTTACGTCACATATACTCTGTACATCATATTAAGGGTATCCAAGATATTTCATATCTACTCATAATTGTAGTACAGTTTATTTCATCACTGGCAGGACAGGTGTTAACGCTAATCATCGAGCTGATGGTGCCCACTGAGGCGATGTATAACTTTTGTTACCGTTTTACGTTTCAACAAAATGTCGTTGAATTGAAAATGCGGGCGATGGAATATTCGTGCATTTATCGAGCCACATATATCGAGAATGAAAAAGTGGAAAAAATTTTTAGTGGTGGATAAGTTTCTCGCTAAGCTGTCTGCTGCTATACACCGAGCTTTGGTGATAGCTGCTAGAACGATAAACGGATGTTTAAACCAGACAGGCATGCTCAGTTCGCTTAGACACGTATTTACTGAATGCTTGCTCCTTGACAGGGAACGAAAACGCGCGAGTAGAAACCATGCATTGTTTAGTCCTTTTGTTTCGTCCTTCTTTTTTTTTAATATTTCTTTAGAAATTTAAGTGCAAAAGGCCAGGATAATCTGGCATAGGTTACAGAGAGAAGTTCCAATTACTGCCCCTCTCTTCCTCAGAGAGGTCGCAAGATATTTACTAATTCTGTTTTGTTTTTCGTTCTTTCTTAACAAGTACTACGACTCGTCTCATTGAGGGCCGGAGAACTCATGTACCCTATAGATCGTAGTGCATGCCTATTCTGATATTAGCTTATCATGGTCAGACAGGTATCGTTTTTTTATTGTTTGTTCGTGAAGTTTATCGTGAACGAAAAAGCGTCAAGGAAGATTATCGTTTACGTGGATCGCATAATCACAGCCATAGAAGATCATGTAAGTAACTGATTTGATATTATTGCACATTATTAATCATGGAAATATATAGTTCTATATATATGGAATAGTTCTTTTGGGTTCAGCAGACCAATGGGCAAACGCAGTAGTGGATGCTGGAATTGCAAAGAATCGAAGAGTC